AGTCAGTTGCTCATGAAAACAACGACTGCAGTAATGTCACACACAAACATATTGTACCCTCGTGAGAAATTCTTTAAATCAAGAAAGCGATTTTGTTCACACAAGAAGTTATTATCTCATTCATCTGTTCTCTGTCTCTCACGGTCAGGAGACACAGCTGGAATCTCTGCTGCAACTGCATGTTGATTGAGTTACCTTTGAAATGGTTCTTATTGGACATCCCCGTACTTTATAATATAAATGACAGTAATAAGTTAGGGACAGTAATGAAAAATGTCCAAAGAGATTCAGTTTATTGTCACAACCTTCTGAACCTTCACCAGGATCTCCTGCGTTCCTCAGATGCACCAAAAATGCCAATGACTTCTCTCTTTGTCTTTAAGTTTTCTTTTTTGGTGGTTTAACAGCAGGAATGTGTCGCCACATCTTTAATAACATTCATTATTCATTTTATTTACAGAGCACTTTTCAAGGAACTCAAAGACACTTCGCATAGGTTAAAATACATAGGTCAAAAAGGACACACACACCCACACACAAAAATAATATAGGGATGGGACGATATACAATGTTATGAATTTCAAATGCAAATTTTGGAGCATATCTGAGCAGGCGTGGACAATTATATGTGAATCTGGCAACTGTTTTTGTTTTGTTTTGTGTGTTTATATTCATTCTGAACATAAAAATAGAAAATAAACAACAGCAGGAAAAGGAAAATGTGTGTCTAACAGGCAGTCACTGGGAATAATTTGGAGGATTAACAACATTTCCACTGGGACTTTAGTTGGGATATAAACTGGTTCTCAATGTGTGGATGGTCTAACAGTTGCCTGCTGTAGAAGAATCCCTCCCTCTCAGACGCCTTTAAAGTGTTTTTATATTCTTTAACAGTAAACATGTACATTTCTGTCAGAGTGAACTGGGTGGCCGCTGGAGAAGAAGACTCACTGACCTGTAACCACATCCTCTTTCACTGCTGACCTCTCAACCTAACTGATCCTCCTGACCTCACTGACACACACACACAACTGAGAGCTGTACCTGAATCAAGATGTGAAGAGGTCGTGACCTCATGCCATTGTCCAATCAGCGGAAATCCAGATCACATTGACCAATCAGAAGCAATCAACATCAGCTCTCCGGGCCTTGATTGAAAGGAAAAGGAACATTTAGACATTTAGCTGAATTGCATCCAGACTGAGTGAAGCTTTGACTAATCAAATAACCATCATGCTGCTGAAACAGTGAAAGTATTCAGACTGCACTCATGCTTTAATGCATTTTGTCTTTATCTTCAAATACTTAACTCCCCTCTATCAGAATTGATTCTGGTGTGGAAAGTCCAGTGTTTCTACACATTTTTAATGTATTCTAGAGGACTGCTGACTTAAAAAATGTGGGGGGCTGTGCAGGTTATCAGGAAAACTAATGGAAAACTTCATCCAAAAAATGACAAATTTGAGTACACAATGGTTCTGTGTGACGTAAAGCATTTGGTTTCCTCTCCTCTTTAGTATTTCATGCCATATTTTCCACCGCGTCCCCCTCAGGGAGAGTGCTTTGAGATATCTCCTGCTAAGTTTGCTTTCATCATGTGCTCCATTTCCCATCGTTGGTGCACTTGATGGATGGGATCTATAGGACTCAGTGAGGCAGAGCCAAGTGCAGCAGGTCCATAAAATGAAACCCTGCTTACTTTTATTGTCTCCAGCTCCATCCCGCTCCGGGCTCAGACTAATACTGTACAGATATCTGTGCTGGATCCAGAATCTGTTTGTTTCTCACAGTATGTCACTCGGTTCGCAGTATGATTCTTTAGGCTTCGAGACTTTTTAAAAAGATTTATCACCCAAACAAATAATGTTCCAAATGAAAGTTGACTGACGTTCTGACCAAGGCTTACTCAACTGGTATTGGACCATCTCCACAGTCATGTGCTTTAGAGGTCTTCAAGAGTTGAACATGTTGGACCTGATCTGAAATGGACTACCTATCGGGTTAGGGTTAGGGTTAGTCCGATCTGAGCCAGAAGGTGGTCGACCTGATAAAGAACACCAGTTATAGCTGTTAACAAGCAGCCACAGAGGGAAAAAAAAGCAATATAATAATAATGTCCTCAGAGCGAATGTAAAGTCACAGAGGCGGATTCCTAAAATAATCGAACTAATTGTAGAAATAAATCAGATTAACAGCAGATAAACTCAGTATGAGGGGAAAGATCTTTAAGGAAAACATTTGCTAAGATGAATTGATGAGGAGTTTCTGAATGAATCTGTGGCTGTAACATATCATTAAGGGAGGGTTGATCCTTCATATTCTCTGGAATAATCACCTTCATGGGATCCTTTGAATGGTCCAGACTTAGAACACAGACTCAGTGTTGTAGACGTTTCCTGGAAACTTTTCTTTGGTGGATGAGAAGTGATTTTATTCTGAGCTTTTTTTTAAAAAAAGCCTGAGTAGTGATAATGATCAGCAGTTAACAGACAAAAGAAAAGAGTGCCAACAGTCAAAAGTCATCAACACAGAATACAAACAGACTGGCACCAAAACTTAAAACAATACAAGGATCCAGAGAATTATCATCCGTTAAATGTAAATTGAAACTGCTGCACAGAAACCACAGAAATGTTAATGTTAAGCAGTCTGAGCCGTGTGTGTGTGTGTGTGTGTGTGCGTGTGTGCGTGTGTGTGTGTGTGTGTGTGTGTGTGAGTAGATTGTCTCAGTGAGAAATGAGCTGTGAAGATCTCATAATTGCACCACGAACAGACGTGGCAGGCGATCTGCGATCTGTGTTTGATGGGATTTCAGAGGAAGGAGAGCTGGAGGATTAACCCGGACTCTGTGGTGTGTGTGGACGTGTTCTGTAGGCCGCAATGTACAGCAGAGACATTTGGAACAGTTTACAGATCAACCTTTTGTATAATAATAAGCAGAAAGAAACGTTTGCACACAAGGAAACACACTGATCCATGAGCTGAACATGAACAATGAGAATTTCCTTGTTAGACTGAAGAGTCACTTTGACTCACGGCTCCATGTGTTCTTTTGAATGGGTGTGTGATTAAAGGGTGTGCAGATAAATCTGACTATGTTTGTTTCTCTTCTGTATTTTGCTGCTAACAAGCAGAAACTCACCTGTCAACCCTGAAGAAAACTGTGATTTATTGCTGGTGCTGAGTTGTGACAAATGTGCCGTGCTGCATTCAAAGCCACGGCTCGCCGTCTTTAGAGCCACCAGGACACACAGAAAGCAGTGTCTCTGCACTCGTCGATCCACAGTGTGGGGTCCACTTGGTCTGAATGTCACCACAGTCTTGCAGAGTTTTCATGGTTAATTTCCTTCGCTTGCTCAGGTGATTATTTGCAGCGCAGGTCAACTCAGCTGACTCACAGGGCGGTTACAGCGGCAGAGAACTCTGAGAATTTCAAGGTTAATTAGTTGCTTTTACTCAAGTTCACAGCTGGAGTTTGTGGATTTACCCACAGTCGACCCGAATGCACCAAATGTATTGCAGGTGGAGGAATTAGAGCAACTTTTGCATAATGTAGAAGAAACTCATCGTTTATGAAACATAGACTAAAGCTGCACTCAAGAGTGTTTGAAAAAGATTGATCTGCATATTCAGTTAATTATCACATAAGACGAAGAGCAGCAACAAATATTGACATTTGAGAAGTTGTTACCAGAGATTATTCTGTATTTTTGTTCCAGAAATGACTATTATCAGAGTTATGATTATTTTTTGGCGATCAATTAATCAGCTAATTGTTTTAGCTCTTAAATAACCTTAAGTAAGGAGAAAGCAGCCGGTAAAAAAATAAAAATAAAACACTAAGAAAACATAAAACATCATTACTGCAGAAGTCTTTTGCCATAAAACAAAGTTTTGGACTCCATTATTGTTATCATTATTATTACAGGACTATACGTCTTTTCAGTTCAGATAAAGTGCGTATTGGAGTGAAACCCAGTCATTAGCCCGCCTCGCTCCAGTTATCATTTACAGCTCGGGGAGCGCAGGCTGACAGCGCTGCAGAATAAACAGAGCGGTGGTCGAGCAGCAGGGCTGAGGCAGAGTTTCAAGGTTAATTTGCTCTGCTTGTTCAGGTCGTTTTCTGCCTGCTTTAGCACCGACTCCCCAGAGAGAGAGGGCTCTGTAGCCTGACTCATGAACTGCTGCTTGGTGTGTGTGTGTGTGTGTGTGTGTGTGTGTGTGTGTGTGTGTGTGTGTGTGTGTGTTTGCAGTGGGGGAGGAATCATTCAAATCATTCACTTAAAGGTCCAGTGTGTAACATTTAGGAGGATCAATTGGGAGATATGAGATATAATATTCATAGGTATGTTTTCATGTAGAATCACCTGAAAATAAGATTCACTATCTAAGAACGAGATGTTTTTATCTACAGAGGGAGCAGGTCTTCTTCTACGGAGGCCACCATGTTTCTACAGTAGACCAGAAGAGACAAACCAAAAACTTGGTGGTCACCACAGTTTCTCCTGTACACGCTTGGTTGGGGAGCTATATTCACTTAGTTGCAACTGCTAGATGCTGCTAAATCCTACACATTGGACCTTAAAGTATTTTTTACAGTGTGCTATTTTTTACTTAATTACAAATAAAAGTTCTGCATTCAAATAATGTCTAAAGGTACGGTACCCACATTGGTTCCTGCAATATTACTGGATATGAGAGTGGAACTTTAATGTTGTAGTTGGTTGAGGTGGATCTCATTTTAACTACGTTACATTCAGCTGTAGTTTAAGGTATAATAATGCTTTATATTTTATAAACTAATTGTATATTTTGTGTGTAAAAAAGTAATCTTCAAAGAAACAAATGTAGTGGAGCAGAAGTATAAAGTAAAATAAAAAGAACTCCAAATTTGACTAAATTACAGTCCTTGAGTAAATGTACTTACCTTCCTTCGCTGGATGTTTGAGAGCGGTAGAGTAAAATAGATGAAACTGAAATGTTTCCTCTCTCTCTGTCAGATCTGAGGAATGGTTCGGCTGTGTTCTGGGAGGGCGGCGTCAGCGGTGGATACCAGGCCCTGCTGTTGGACGAGGATCAAGGATGGCTGTTGGTCGGAGGGAAAGACCACATTTACCTGCTGAGGCCCGACAGCTTGGATCTGCCCACACGTACAGTGAGTCATTGAACGCACCGAGCTCCAGTGTTTAATGCATCTCAACTCAACCTTCCACAATATAAAACAATCTGTCCGACTGCCTGGAGGTTTGATAAAGAGATTTTAATTCAGAGTGTACTGGATATTTGTGTGTTTTATCTTCTCAATCAGGTCTACTGGCCAGCTGCCAGAGAACATGTGGAGCACTGCAGGCTGGCAGGGAAAAGTCTGGAGGTAAGTGTCTTTAAATCAGAATAAAATAAGCAAAATATCAGACCATAAACATATTTTTCTGTATGTGTTCACAGCAGCTTAGCACAAAGACTGGAAACTAACACAATCCACCTACCAGCATCTCTAAAGTTCACTAAACACAACAAGTCTCTGAGTTTTAATGTTACCGTCAACCTCTGTAGTCTCATTTAGCCACTTGTTAGAAACCGCCTTTTTTCAAGACACGTAAAAGCTTCAAAATTCTTAGGTAGGGTATTTAAATGGGAGGTGACTTTGTGGGAACCTGAAGTGCTAAAATGCTAACTCATTTCCAGGTTTAGGACTCATTCCTGCAACACATGGTCGTGCAGATTAAACAAGATATAAGGTGTTAATCAGTGAGCTTTGGGGGTTCTGTTTGGTGGATTTTGTCAGTGTTTATAGCCAGGCTAGCTGTTTCCCCCTGTTTCCAGTCTTTATGCTAAGCTAAGTTAAGCCTCATATTCACTGTACAAACAAAAGAATGAATCTTTGTGTCTACATTGTTATTTCTGTTACATGATTAATGTGAAGGAACGTGTTCATATATGTTTATCGTGTTTTCTGTTCATTTCAGACTGACTGTGCCAACTTTGTGCGGCTGCTGCAGCCTTTCAATAAAACCCATGTTTATGCCTGTGGCACTGGAGCCTTCCATCCACAGTGTACATACCTGCACTTAGGACACAACACAGAGGTAAACTGGAGTTCATATGTCTGTTTATGCATTCATTAATACCGCAGTCTTCTACAGATAGCTCGCATTTCTGGGTTTTGTTGTTTGTTTGTTTGTTTATTATTGTCCAAACAGACAATGTGATGTCAAATCCAGATATTTCCAACACAGTTACAGTTACAGTTCCCAGAGTTATCATAGTTTTAATTTTTGTTTTCAGTTCAGTTTCCTGTCAGTCAGCTTTCACAGTGGGTTCGTGTGTGTGTAGTTTTACATATAATAATACGGACACACTGACTCACAGTCTCATAAACATATTTAGAATCAGGGAATTCCTCTTTGAAGAGCTTCCATTTTGCTCTGACAATCGACAATCATACGAGAAGAAATCCATCAGAAGAAGTGGAGGCAGAGGGTCAGTTTCCTCTTTGTCCTTCTGTTTATCATTCTGTGTTTGTGTGTGGTCTCTCTCTCTCTCTCTCTCTCTCTCTCTCTCTCTCTCTGCTGTAGGAGCCATCTTTCACACTCTCTCATACGATGGAGTCGGGCAGAGGGAAATGTCCCTTCAGTCCCAGGGAGCCGTTCACTGCTAGACTGACTGGTAGGTCTCATCCAGTGCACACATAATGTAGTGTGTCCACCCCCCCCCCCACACACACACACACACAAAGTAGATGTGTTAAATCATTTTCATGTCACTCTCTAACAGCCGTATTCATATTCTGATGACACTAATGTCCTGCAGCGTACAATCCCTCCACTGTCTCATTCCTGGCTGCACATCGTCCGTCCAGCTGTGGTGTGTGTGGTCCGCCTCACTTATTTCACACGCTGACGTCAGCTGTTGCCCCCGCACGACATTACGGACATAAAACACATCAAGTGCATTTGGGTCCCCCACACACACACACATAAAATCAGCCTTCAGTTGTCAAAAAGAGTTCTTCAAGCTGATAGTTGTGTCTGTGCCAGCAGCTGGAGAAAGAGGACTCCAGCAGCAGACACGGGGGTCGAAACTGGAGGTTTTTAGACGCCTCAGGAGGGTTTTCTGGGGAGTTGCTCTTCTGTGCAAGTTTGAGGTGGTTTTGGGAGGTCTGTCAGTTTGATATAAAAAAAAGAACTGAGTAATAAACATCAAGGGACACATGTTAAATTGATGTGTTGTGTTCTAAAGTCAAAGATCTTCATACAAACTGTGCTGCACAGTCTGAAGGGACAGAACTGAATAACGAGTCAAGTCAAAAGAAATAAAGATAATTATTGGGAGAAGGCTTCCTGTGATGGGTACGCAGCACGGACACATGTTTCCTCTTAAAGAATGAAGAATGAGAATGAGACGAAGGATTTAGTGGCATCTAGCGGGATAGCTCATTGCAGCCTTGTCTACAGCCAGTGTTTGGTTTGTCCGTTCTGGGCTACTGTAGAAACATGGTGGTTCAACATGACGGACTTCATGGAAAGCGACCAGCGCCATCTGTAGATATTAACGTCTCATTCAATGGTAACAAACACACAATGATTCCTATATTCAGGTGGTTAAACACTAATGAAAAGATACCTATGAATGTTATATTCCATCCTAGATCCTCCTCAGTGTTACACACTGGACCTTTAACCTTAGGTGTCTTGTTGCCAAAGTAACCGTGGACATAAAACAAAACTAGAGACATTAGTTGATTAATCTATTGACAGAAAACATTTGTTGGAATCAGCTTCTGAAATCTGAGGATTTTATGTTTTCTTTTTCATATACGATAGTAAATTAAATGTTGTTGGTCGTATAAAACAAGAGAACAATTTACTGACATATTGATTAATTAAAGGTCCAGACTGAGCTGTATTCAAATGGTTGCAATCTGCAACTTCACCTCCAGATGCCACTAAATCCCACACACTGGTCCTTTAGGAATAATTAGATTAATCTGCAGATTATATTATAATAAAAGTAATTGGTAGTTGCAGCCTTATAGGTAGCTAATTTGGAATAGCAATTTTTACCTAACCTTGAAGAGCTAAACTGTGCCATGACCGTAATGAACCTTTATCAAGTAGTCCCAAACAGAACCATAAATACCTTTAAGATTTTTCTACAAATGGGTATTTTAGAGAAAACACACATTATATTGTATGATTTGAATGTTGTTTTACTTATTAGCTGATTTAAAAAAGTGTGAGGGTTGCTCCAGGAGGTGGTTGCACGGACAAATAGATATTGTCATAATAATAATTATTACAGTAATAATAATGTAACACATTTATTACTGTACATAACTAATAAGAGACCGAATTGTGATACAACCACCAGTTTGTCCAGTATGGCATCTTATTTTGAAACATTTATATTACAGCAGACCCACATGGCGTTTACATTATTATCAGCAACTCATTCATTGTTTTAAACAAGATGTCGAAGCATTACATTAATATTTATAGCTCTCAGCATCCTGAGGGTGTTTGCATTGTGTAAATGATTATGTTTAATAATGTCACAACTTCTAAGAATCAAACATGAAGTCAAAATATGACATCATGTAATTTCAGTTGTTTAAGATGTCTACAGTCTTTACTCATTGTTATCCGGGTCTCCGGAGCACGATTTAACAACGCTGCTGCTCGTTGCGCGAGGAATGAATCATAGCTGTGGACAGTGAACATATGTGCTGTAAATGGACGTGTTTAATTCCTCCAGGGGTGATACGTTCTGTTTTATATTGGATTTAAACATAATTAAACAAAGATGTTCATACTTTAGTTAAACTTATGGAAATCAAATCATTATTTAAAGCATTGGACATTTTACACATAAATGTACTGAACTGTATTGAAAATGAAACTGAGATGATTAAAATCAGAAATGAACTAATATGGGACAATATTTACCTTTGTCGACACCTTTAATGTAACATGTAGATTGGAGTTATTTTATTTTATTTGTTTCAAATGTGTATTCAAATAAAATTGTCAAATGTATATTTTAGTTGTTAAAAAAGCCATTACAGTATATTTTTATTCTAAAAATAAAGCAGAATTTTAACAAATGAGCCCTAACTACCGCCACTCCCACGCATCCCCCCCCACCACCTTCCTGTCTGTGTTTCATTCAATTGTCTTTTTCTTTTTGCAAATAACAAAAATGCAGCATGAAGTCCCGGGTGGTTTCAGGGATTCCACCGTACGAGAGGAATTTATCTTCACGGTAGAATTGAATCATTTGTTCATTTTGTTTTGTTGCTTGTTCGCAGAGACAGAAGCAAGAGAGAGAGAGGGGGGGGTGCACACATTTTAATAAATCAGCTTGTAAATATTTGCTCAGGACCTTTATGAGGAAAAGAACATTGTGGAGTAATGCCAAAGGGGGGAATAAAACAAACCATTGTGCTCTGAATGTGGCAACAATCTCTGCGTTGGTCAACTAACGAAACCTCTCCCTGCAGGAAGAATGCATTCAGTGTCACATGCCATCATACGGCCTGCAGGCGGTTCAACAGTGGAGAGAAACCAGTTCCACAAAGTGTGTAAACTGTTGTTAATCTGTGTCTTTCTTTCTTTCTCTCTTTCTTTCTTTCTTTCTTTCTCTCTCCCTCTGTAGATGGAGAGCTTTATGCAGGAACCTCAGTAGACTTCATGGGAGCCAATGCTGCGATCTTCCGTACGTCTGTCCAGGGCAGCAGTCAGCATTACATCCGGACTGAAGCCTATGATCACAACTGGCTCAATGGTGAGAACTCCAGTCCCTCCTCTCTCCCATGATGCTTGTATTGATCAGTTTATTATGGTGGAGACCCCGGTGACTGACTGACGCTGTCCCGCCTCCCTCTCAGAACCGGAGTTCGTGGGCTCTTTCTCCATCCCGGACACTCACAGTCCGGACGACGACAAGGTCTACTTTTTCTTCAAGGAGCGTGCGGTGGAGGCTGGACAGTGGGACAAGAAGGTGTACAGCCGCGTGGCTCGAGTCTGCAAGGTAGAAACACACAGACGGATACAAAAGACAGAGCTCAAGAACATATAATAGAGGACAAACCTTAGAATGACAGCAGCAGTCCACAGCTGACATCTACACAGAGGTCCACTGAAGAATGAACTGTGTCAGGAGCTGAGTTGGTGGTGTCAGATCCACTGTTGGTGTTTTGGGATTAACCTTTTAATAAGTGTTTTAAAGTTTTCCAGCAGTTATTTCAGCTCGTCTGTCTGTCTCAGCTTCATTCATTTTTTAGTGGACTTGTTTGAATAGGTTGTTTTTTATACTTCTACCATCTACACATTCAAAAATGTTCAATTCTTCAAAAGTTTGCATCAAAAACAAACTCTCTGCAGAGGTCAAGTTCAGCTGCCATTTTTTGGATGTGGAGAACTGATTTCTGTTGGTTTGGGCCTGTTTCTTCTGTTTATTTGGAGCATTTTTATTCTGTTTGGGCTTTTAAACTGATTCTAGTACAGTTCTGGGCAGTTGTTGGGATCTTCATGTTTGAATCTGTAATGTGGGAGAAAGAGCTTTTGTTTTCAAACTCTCCTTTTTGTGCTTCCTTTTCTCTCCTCTCCCTTTCTTCTCCTCGTCCTCCACCCTGTTTTTATCTTTCATTCTTCCCTCTGTCTTCTCTCCCTCCATCCAGAATGACGTAGGGGGGAAGAGGAGTCTGATCAACCGTTGGACCACCTTCCTCAAAGCCAGGCTGGTCTGTTCTGTCCCCGGTCCGTCTGGAGTTGACACGCAGTTCGATGAGCTCGGTAACACTCGTTCCCTCCTTTTCCTTCCTCTCTGCCTTCACCAGTCTCATCTGCTATGTAATAGACCTTTTGATATCATGTCCCTGCTGTCCTCCCTCCTTTTTTTCTTACTTCATCTTCCTCTTTCCTTAACTTGACAAGCAAGAAATGTCCCCTCCTTTCCTTCCCTCTTCTCTCCTCCCTTGTCTTTTCCCTCACTCCTTTTGAAAACATGCCAATCAACAGAGCTATGACCTGTGCTCATTTGGCAATTTATTCTTTATTATTTTATCACAGTTTTATCGAATTAAGCAGATCAGTTCACAAAAATATAGAATGAACAGTACAAACACTCCAGTACATCTGACATCTGAGGTTGGTGACAAGTATTCACTTCTCAGCATGAGGGACAAATCAATGACTTTAGATTCTAAAAAACAAAGAGATTCATAATGTTGAATTTTAAAGTTGACCCTATGTTTTTCCAGAGGACATCTTTGTTCTGGAGACCAAAGACCCTCAAAACCCGACCATCTACGGAGTCTTCAGTACATCCAGGTGAGAATACATTCAGTCACACTGTATATATTTTTGTAGAGACCACTTTGAAAGATGGTCTTTTCACAAAACTGGGCTGTCTCTGCAGTAGAAAGATTTCAAATATTTTTAGAAATTTCTGCTACATGACCAGAAAAAACAGAGAAAAGGATCTGTGGTATTCTCTTTTGCTCAAAATCTAGACATTTTCTGGTACTGCAGATAAACAGTTCATTAAAATATATTTAAGAAAACATTTTAGGCGAGAAATATGCAACACAGTTACAGAATCTTGATTCAGATTTGATCAGCTCTGCCTGGTTTCATGGTTTGAGTTTCTTATTCCCCGCCATGGTTCAGAGGCTAGGCACGTTAAAATGCAGAAGTACAATCTGTGATATCTGTAGGCAAATGAGCGGGGACCTTTGGGTGCAGGCATATATTCCCCACATTGCAATGGTACAAAGCTGGTCGAAAATCTGCAAAGTTTACCTTTAAACAAATAAATCAACACAAAGTGTAACATACGTGTAAAGATGTGTAAATATCCCTCCTGTGTGATCTCTATCTAAAAAAAAGATAAATGTGAAGTTTTTGTGACTTTCCTAAAATCTCAGTGTGTAAAGTTTCACAATGGAAGGAAACGTTAGAACATCAGAGCACTGGGAGGATCTCCTCCTCCGTTACGTGCACACTCACAGCCGGCACGTGCACGCCCAGCGGGACGGAGGGTCGGAGGTCAGGTGTGGGTGGGTGTTGGGGTCAAAGGTGAAGAGGCCCAGCTGGTTCTGTTATTATAACCCTGATGTAATAAAGCACTCCCGACTCTTTCTCTCTCCTCTCCTCTCCTCTCCTCCCATCCCTCCTTCCTTTCTTCCTTCCTTCACTCCGTTTTTATCTTTGCTGTATTGTTTCTATCATGCCTCCTTCTTTCTGTCCTCTCCTACCTGTCTTTTCTTCCTTCTCTCTTCTCCTTCACTCTCATTGCTTTTCTTTTGATCTGTCTCTTCAACCCCTCTCTATCTGTTCCTCCTCTACCTTTCTACCACAAACCAACACCTCCTCCTCTCTCTCCTGCAGCTCTATATTTCGGGGTTCAGCAGTGTGCGTGTTCTCGATGGCGTCGATCCGTGCTGCTTTCAACGGGCCATTCGCTCATAAAGAAGGTCCCGACTATCGCTGGGTGGAGTACAAGGGCCGCATCCCCTACCCGAGACCTGGCACTGTGAGTACACACCAACGTATTCTCACAAACACAACCTACAAACATTTTATCTTTCTTTAACTGCAACAGTTTGGTTCTAAAGATCTAACTCTGAGAGACTACATTGTGAGTTTCAGTGCAAGAAAGAACAAAAACACGCCTTCCACTTAATAAAGCCCAAAAAATTCAAATAAATTCACTTTCCTCTGGTGGTATTTAGTCCTTCAGACACTTTTGTGCTCAGGTTTTGAGATATTTATCTCCTTTAAGGCCAGACACTACAGGTGAGCATTTGAACTAATAGATATCACTATGAAACATCCACAGTTGATTACTTACATTAAAATCATTTTTTAAAATACAAGTTTACTGAATTTGTTGGTTTAAATATGCAAATGATGTATTAGCTGACGAAAAAAGGGGCTAATTTGCACACATCTCCAGATAGATAGGAATGTGAGAGAAGAGTAAGTTTTACAAAACAGCCTTTAAAGATATGTACTATAAAAGTCACTACGGGTGAATAGGGTCCAAATTGTAACGAAATGTTTGGAGGTTTTATTTAAATATGCAAATGAGGCTTGATCTGATGCAAACAGACACAGTGTAGTAAAATAAATACCTAAATGTGTGTTTTAGGCATTTTCTTTCCATTGGTCTGGAAGAAGAAGACGGAGTTATGGAAGCAAAACAGCTCAAAAGCTCAAAATTGACCTGAACATTAAAAAAAGGGGGTTTTCAGATGTATTTTTTATTGCTTTTAGCATCACAAACCAAATTCCATTCCCCTCCATTGTATTATACAGGCCTACGTAAGATTACAGCAGAAATGAAAGAGTCAGATATCTCCAAACCAGATGGAGATGAAACGTGTAAGGTGTTGGTCACTTGCTTATTAAAGTTCACAGGCCGTAATTCTTTGTAGATACGGTGCCGACAGAATGGCATTTATGTTTGTGTGAGTCCTGCGAGATCCGACTCCAAACACACATCTAATGAAAACAAGCTGACGGAGCTGTGAGAGGGTTAAACTCTGCTGATTTAACACCTCAGCGCCGAACTCCTCTGGGAAGGCTCAACCTGTCAGGAGAGCCGAGGCTTTAGTGTTTGACTGTGTCAGGTGTTATTTCATTCTCCCTGCTGGGGAATTCAGGTTCTGTAGCCTCATGTGGTTGATTGCAGAAGAGGTCAGCCACGTCAGTGTGTGTGTGTGTGTGTGTGTGTGTGTGTGTGTGTGTGTGTGAATGTGTGTGTGTCGAAGGGGGAATGAAACAGTCACAGAGATGCTGTGGTCACAACCTCTGCTCACACACACCAAAATATTCAAATATTTTCATTTCATTTTTGTAATTAATTTATTCTTTCTTCGTTCAACCATCAGTGCATCAATCTTTATATCAGCTCTTCATCGTATATCTCTCCTGTATCTTTTATCTCCATCTTTCTGTAGTTTTCATTGCTTCAAGTGAAACATATGACTTTCTCTACAAATGAGCTTTTAGCTTAAGTCATTGTTTTAGGGCAACTTTCATTAAGTTATTAGGTAACAAGATGCTTATAAACAATATTAAGTGTTAATAAGTCTTTATAATATCATCATAAACAATGTATTGTTAGATTATAAGACATTAATAGGCACTTGTTAACAGTTTATAGACTGATTAAGAGTGTTAATAAAAGCCTTATGAGTCAACGTTCAACCACCAGGCATGCTCACTGAGCTTTTTACTCATAATATTCCTTCCTGAATTGTCCCCCAGTGTCCCAGCGAGACCTACGACGCTCTCCACAAGTCCACCAAGGACTTCCCGGACGAGGTGGTGAGCTTCATGCGGCAGCACCAGCTGATGTGGGAGCCCATCCTACCTCTGGGCGGCAGACCCATCTTAACCCGGGTCAACGCCGCCTACATGTTAAACAAGGTCGTAGTGGACAGGGTGGACGCCGAGGACGGACCTTACGATGTCCTACACCTGGGCACAGGTGAGGAGGCGGAGGAGCAGGGAGGGAGGGATTGGGAGTTGAGAGAGTGTGAGGAGGTGAGGAGAGGGAGACCTTAGAAGAGAAGAAAAAGTGGAAAAACTAATTTCTGAAGAAATGTAAGCGTGCTTGCTTACAGAGAAACAAGTAAAGTAAAAGTTAAAATATTTAAAAATATGAATTGTTAAAAAGCAAAAGTGGTTGAATTGTCCTTGAAGCGTAACAGACGTCAGTGGAACTGTTGACAATAAAACAAACGCCTGCAATAGTTAATGTGTGCACACTGTAAATAATTGAGTTTACGTGTCAGTTAGTGTAAGCAGTGAAAGCAGTTGAAATGTCCGTCAGAGTAGTTGAACTAAAAGCTAAAAGTTGCCGGTGTAAACAGGATGTCTTAAAATGTTAATTGTTGAAAGCAGTTCCGGCACTAAAAGATGTTTAGATGTTTTAAATTGTAAATTCTTTGTATATAAAATATTGTTGGAGGAGTTGCAGTTTAAGTTGAAACACTGAAAGTTGAAGTATAAAATGTAAGTATTGGTAATAGTTTGTATGTGAGACTGAAAGCAGTTAAACTGTGTGTGTTCACTGCAAATAGTCAAAGTTTCTGTTGTGTCAATTCAACTGATTGCGTGAAGGAAAGAATAACAAAGGCATAGAGAGAGAGAGAGAGAGAGAGAGAGAGAGAGAGAGAGAGAGAGAGAGAGAGAGAGAGAGAGAGAGGAGATGGAAATTATTACAATGAGCTTCATTTGTGTGACTTTGTGAGTCGGGGTGGATCTAGATAGATGGCACTGACTGATGGGAAGTTTGGTGGCAAATGCTTTCATATTTAACTTATCAATTTAAATGATTTAAAGAAAATGTGTTAACAAAAACAGAGGACTTAATTAAAGGTCAATGAAAATCTGGAAATAAAACAATTTATTAATTTCTAATTCTACCTTTAGATATTTCTATTCAGTGTTTTACTAATGTGCCACAATAATAAAATGTTTGAGTTAAAATATCTTAATCTTTTACTAGTAAGTTTGTGATTAAATCTGTATATATTTCTGCCAATCCTCCCCATGCCATCCCATGAATATTTATTTAGATCCGCCCCAGAAATGGAAAGAAAAACAGAACAAAGTGCAAGACAGAGTGATAAAAAACTGAAAAACAGAAGGAAAACATGAGTGGAAAAGAGAAAACAGATGAGGACATATGGGACGCCATGGAGTCGAACTGACAAAGGCTTTCTTATAAAAACTAAAAGGGATTTAAAAGAAATTAGACAAGAGGACAGAGCAGGGGCTAATGTTGATAGATGTGGTGGTAGAAGACATGGAGGGCAGAAAGTGGAGACATGGATGGTGGAAACTGTGACCAGAGCTGTACACTATCTTCAAAACAGAGAAACATAGAAACAGGGAGGGGAAGAGACGAGACACACAGCCAATGTAATGCATATTAAACACAAACAGCAGAAATCCAATGCCATTTTTCACTCTAGTGAAATAAATGACTCACTTCATCATGTGTTTATGTTTTAAGGTTTCTAGCCGGCACTCCAAAACTCAAGAGTTTAGATCAAGAGTTAAGGAACGAGGTAGAAGAGAATAAGAGATGGGTGTTTAGAGAGCATTACAAGTCAGGGCTAAACATAATGATTTCCTGTGGAGTAAAAGATCGTTTAACAAAACTAATAGAATTACCAAAGACTGTTTCACAGTTTGCAGACATATTTTCTAAATCCAGAGAAAGATGGTAGTCAGAAATGACACATGAACCAAACATAATGCATTTCACAATCACTTATAGAAATACAGTCACACCTTTAGAAACAGGTTAAAAAAAAAGTTTTTATCTTGTAAACAACAGAATATTGTTTCATCCAGATTGTTAGTCTTTAAAGCACCAGTGTGTGGGATTCAGTGGCTTCTAGCAGTGTAACTGTTGATTGCAACGGTTTGAATACAGCTAACACATATGTTGGGTTTATTCTCAGGTCAGTGCTGTTGACCAAGGCACCCGCTCAGATCTGGAGTTGGTCCCCCGGGTGCCGCCCACTGCTCCTAGTGCAGGAGGGGGTCAAATGCAAATGCAGAGAATGAATTTACCCATGAGGATCAATAAAGGTTGACTCAACTTTAACTAAGATTTCCAAATGTGTGAGAGAAACTATGGTGGTCGTGAAAGTGAAAGTCCTTATCAAGAGCCAGTGTTTGGTTTGTCCGTTTTGAGCCACTGTAGAAACATGGTGGTTCAACATGGCGGACTGCGCCAGAAGAGAACAGGTTTTTATTTTCAGGTGCAATGTAAAAAAAATTGTTCAAACAGATTACATAAAACATTTTAAGTAACAGAAACTCTTATACTTTGTAAGGTAAAAACGATTCTTGATGCTAGGAATTTAAAGTGATGCTAACTTAGTTTTGTAAGTTAATGAAACATCCTGATTAAGTATCTTTACTAGGTATTTTGTTTCCACGGTACAAATAAAAACTACAAAATTAAGTCAGTGTCACTTAAAAAATTCGATATAATCGATGTTAAATTAACTTATCTGGTTTTACAGTGTGGCTGTACACTAATGAAAACAAACCTGTGAATATTATACTCAATTTCTGCCAATAGATCCTCATAAATGTTACACACTGGAGCTTTAAAGCTTCAGTAAAGACCTTCAGTATCCTTCGGGTTTTTCAAAAATTGCCAGGAATAATAAAATAATACAAATAATGTTTCTGGAGAATTGGACGCTCTGTGGCTTGAATGTAGCAGTAATAGAGTGAGAGCACAAACTGGGGTTACATCGAGTCAACAGGAAAAAAAACGAGTTAAAGCATCTTTCGACAACTTCACATTTTAACCAAACCACATCATTAAAACGTCATTTATGACTGAGTGTGGTTCATTTGTTCATTTGTTGTGTGTAAACATCCCGCATTCATTCATTATCTCTTTAAAGTGCCTCTGAAGGTGGAAAGCTGAGAGGATGAACACTTGTGTGACAGGGTGAATGGGTTCTTGAGTGTGTCTGGTCTTTGTGTATATGTGCGTCAACATACACACACACATGTGTTTACAGGTGTGCACGTATGTGTGATCATAAAAACCCTGAAGCTGTATGTGTGTAATTGTGGTCCTGTGTGTGTGTGTGTGTGTGTGTGTGTGTGTGTGTGTGTGTGTGTGTGTGTGTGTGTGTGTTTGGCAGTGAACGGCTGTGAGTGCGTGATAAATGGTGGAGGTTATTTAACTGCTGGTGACAGGCCGAGGGGCCAGAGGTGCTCCGACGGCTCCATACATCTCCTCTAAGTGGATTCCTCTCCAACATCTCTCATCTCCCCATCAACTGCACATTTACCTGCCTGATAAATGCTCTTTCTGCTCTTTCAAGTGCTCTGATTTTTTTTACGTTATTTACGACCAGGAGGAATCTTCTGACTCGTCTTCCCATCGGCTAATTTTTTTTTTATTGCTGTTTGTAAGCGCAGATAATATCCCTTTTTTTATGCTTAGCCACGTGCTCATGTCAAAGTGGTTTACTCTAAAAATAAAATATACTTTAAAAAGTCTAGAGGTTACTCTGAGGTCATGAGTTGAGTAGTGACTCATTTTATGTACATGTTCGTCCCGATTAATGTCACTGTTTTTGTGGTCCTAAAAGCGTTACGCAGATGATATACAATTATATGTTAAGAATACAATTCTTTTATTATGTTTCATCTGACTGACTAAACTCTATAAAACAATTGGATAGGAAGTAATTTCCTACAGCGCAATGTTTTCTCTAACTTATTTTCGTTCATTTTTAACTTACTCAGACATTTTAAAGGACAAATGTGATAATATGGTAAGTATTACCATAAATATATATTAACTTTAGACTAATTACAGTGGCTTTTTGGTCTATTTTCTCATCATCACATTTTTAAAGCAACAAGATGGAAGAGGAGATGTTTGTTCCTGCGTTTGGCATGCAGAGGGCCATGACCTCCACCGGTTGGAGGTCATAAATATTAACCACAAGGTCAAAGCTGAGCTGCTATTTATAATTCTAATGTGAAAACCTGATGGCCTTCATGCTGGTACAGCTGTAGCCTGGAGCTCCACAGGGAGAAAGTTCAAACTGAACGGTAAAAATGTAGAAAACAGGAGAATGGTTGTCACCCATCCATTAACATTACTGTGGCCTCAGAAGTATGGAATAATGTAACTGATATAGTACATTAGTTATATTGGCCCTCGTGCCAGGAAGAGAGATCAACATTAAGTTGATACACAAAGAGGACACAAGAGTAAAAGACACCGACAATAATATAACAGTAACTCGGACTGTTGTATTAGAAAAACCTTAGACAGCTATGGCTAGCTTGGTTGAATTAGAACAACGAATTCACAATTGAAGATATATAATGGAGGTTCTCGGACTGTGAAGGAATGTTTAACCTTTTTCTAGTGACCAGCAGGGGAAATAAGTTAGACGTATGAGCTTATGAGAAATAGACAACTTCTCAGTCGGTTTATTCCCTCAGTAAACAGTTTCCTGATGAGTTTCTGGTCTCCCTCTCTTTTTTCACTCTTTTTCCATACAACATTATTTTTATTTAATAAATTATGGTCCCTTTTAGAGTAAACCAGACCATAAAGCAGGGTATGCTTTAGGGCGGGGCTACCTTGTGATTGACAGCTCATTCTCAGTGAGTCCTTCCAGCTCAGTGCTGATCAGATATGGATCCAGATTCTGTTGTTGACTATTTCTCTCCTCAAATCTGTTCACAAACACATTTTACTGTTTATCTGGAATACGAGAACAGACGGGTTGAATAAGTGCAGCTCAACTCACGGTATGTTTACTGATTGCAAAGAAACGCCACGGCATGTCAGCATTAGTTTGGTCACAGATCTGACAGGAAAGTGGAAAATATCAAACATGTGGAACTAAACTGCTGGTTGCAGAATAAACACTGAGTACGTCCCAGGCTCGGAAAATGTTTTCACTAACTGGATCCTGTATATTTTGGAGATATTTAATGATGAGCTTGTATAGTGCACACACGTTTTTAAAGGAGCTAATCATCTTGAGCTCTTCCAGGGACCTTTGTGAACTTTTCCAGCTTGAGCTTACTCTTGATTTCTGGTTTCTCAACGTTTCCTTTTTGCCTTATTGGGCCACGACCCGGAGAAGAACAAATGCTGGCCGGATGTCAGAGGAGCACAGATTTTATCTCGACTCTGAAATGAAATGTTACAAAGGTCTCCGATGGCCACAGACATCCAAATACATCATCAGCCCATGTAGGGTAGCCTTGTTTGACAAACTCATCTGTACACACACACATGCATAAACACACACACACACACACACACACACACACACACAGGAGGTTTCCCACAGCGAGGTTTATGAGGTTCCCTGGGAGCATCCTGACATTGTGTGTGTGTGTTTACGTACAAACATGTCCCTGTGTGTGTCTTCAGTGTGTAGTTTCACTGTAACAGATGGTGTGTGTGTGTGTGTGTGTGTGTGTGTAGCGGTAGTAGAGATAAAATCTCATAAATCCTCCCTGAAGTATTTTACATTGTGTGCATTCAGTTTCTGGATTCCTCCGTTACTATGGTTACCGCTATAGCATGTGTCCTCTGTTTCCACAGCAACAGTCACAGAATGTTTGGTGACTTTTAAGAAGAAGAAACCTTTAAAAATATAAAAATATAAACATTCGCACATTGTGACTGATTGTGTACAAACACACATCTGTGGCGGTCTCTGATACATCACCACAACCATCATTTTAATGCATTTTGCTCAATGTAATTGACAGCACTATTAACCACTACTCTTTGTGATGTACAACTTATAAAACAATGCATCCTCCCACTGGTGGAGCAGTACATATGATAGACTGTGCACACGCAGGCTGCAGTGTGTAAAATGATAACACCTACTTTCATATGATAATACTTTAGTGATTTGGGATTCAGGTGCTTTAAGTTGTGAGAACACTGTTGCTAGGCTATTGGTTTTTTTTGGAAACAACATGTAGCAGTAGCACAGATACAACCTGGCTGGCATGGTCCAGTACTCGTCAGTTCAGATTGTTTTGTACCTTTACTTCTTTTTGCCTACCACCACCTCCAGTGAGCATGGGCGTACCCACCACTGAAGTCCCAGAGGTCCTGACCTCAGTGTGTCTGAGTCAGTTTTTGGACCTTGTACTCATACAGCAGTGCTGGTGAGGTACTCCTAAATGCCTGCCTAACTGCGTCTATGTATAAACACATTACTAGCTTAAATGTCCTTGTTAAAATTGATTAAAAACAGCAACAAAATGAGGGTTAGGGTTGTGCTGAATTAGGGTACTGACCATTACAGGCACTGCTCAGAGCAAATAGTTGGAATACTCCAACATGATTACACTCATTTCCAGTTATTCTATATTTAAATGTTACTTGTTTGGCATCTTGTTTCATGTAAAGGAACCACTTTTATCAGTTTCTTTCAACAGTATTTTCTTTAGCTCTCATAAGAGCTGTAAGTTATTCCATTTAATTCCTGAACAATATAAAGCAACTGCACTTTCTCTGGAAGGTGAGCTTTACACCAATTTCCGGATACAACTCTTGATCAAGCTTCTTCCGTGCAAGGTTCGAGTTATAATCTGAGCTTTGTGGGGATCTCTAAAATACTTTATACACTCTTATTAATTATAACTACTCACGTTCTATTAGGAGGTACCAACACTGAAACCTGCACACAACAAGAGAAACCTTCAGGTCATTAATTCAACCATGAAATCATTAAAATGTCTTCCCCTGACACATCTTATGGGATGTTGAGATACTAATCAACAAACCACTGTTGATTTTCTTACAATTGAAAATATAACTGTTTAATAAAGGATTTCTGCCGGTAAAGACATACCTGGTGGGTTAGCATACAGTATGTGAATGCTCTCATGTTGAACTGCTTTGTTCAGTCAATGATGCACTTTTGCTGCGTGGTGCAACTTCTGGCATTCTTTGGTCAGCCTCATTCATTTTTTTCCAAAGTATTTGTGCTGTTTTAAATGTAATAATAGAGGACAACCAGAGTTGAGGAAGCCTAAATATTATTATTCTTTGTGGTTTTGTACACCACAGCCTCTACCCAGTGAACACACTGTGTGTATTGATGTGTAATTAATATTCTTTTCTGTTTTTCCAGACGATGGGAAGGTGGTGAAAGCAGTTTCAGTTATCAAAGACAACTGGGACACAGAGGAGATCATTCTGGAGGAGATGACTGTCTTCCAGGTGAGATCAGCTTTCAGTATCAAGTTTTTTTTAATGAAAGCTATACTAACGAATTTTCTTCATGCAGCATACCCACATAAATGTCAGACAAGGCTGTCAGTACTTGTTAATACTTATAAAGTTCATTCAGGACGGTATTTGCTCTATGTAGCCACACAGGACTTTTATGGCTATAATCTCTCAGTGCCCATCTGTAGCATGTGATGTGCTGCGTAAGGCCTTTTGCAGTTTCCAATGGAACATATTTGTCTGGAATAACTCCACTAAACAGAAAAACAGATAGCAGGGCGCATATTTCCCAAGGTCCTCTATGTAAATACGCTAAGACAGGAGGGAACTGAGGAGGGAACCAAAAAACGAATTAGAGAAAAGGCCAAAATACAGTTTGAGAAAAAATGGGAGAGACAGAAATAGAGCAGAACACGTGGAAGAGAGGAATTAAATAAGGAAATAAGCCTCAGAGAGCTTTAAAACAGAGCACAGGTGACGGGAAGGAAGAAAGACAGAAAACCACAACAAGCAAAAACAGCCACAAACAAACAGGATACCAGATGCTCTTACTTTATAACTGAGATTAAAACAGGAACCAAGCCATTTCCACAGCAGCTGGCATCGACTGTGCAGCCATATGATGAACTGCAGTGTTTATTTCAGAGTTTTCTATCCGCTGAAGGCTGGGTTTGAGCCAGAGGAGACTGCTTTGGCACCCTGACTGGCTTTCTGAGAGGAAGCACTTGAATGGTTGGTCAGTTTGTTGGCTGTGACAGGACACAGGATAGCCAGATCACTGTACAGATACCTCTTCTCCCGCCGTCTACCTTTCTCCCTCCCTCCTCCTTCAGCTCGACCCCTCCGCTCAGAGCGGTCAGGGGTCATTTACTCCCTTTGTGAGACACTGAAACAAGTCAGTGGGCTGGAAAAATGGAGCTCTGGGGTAATTTAGTCTTCTGAAAGAGACTCATTAGATTTCTAATCTCGGTAGCTGCCCTGACCTCGAAGCCAGCCAGTCGTTTACCGTAGGGATTCCTCAACCTCTGCAGCGCTGAAATATTGGCCTTCTGAAAGAGAACGACCATTTAAGTTTCCTCCTTCCTCACATTATCCAAGATCTGTCTGCACAGTTAGTGTAGTTTCATGTTTCAGCTGATTGTTTTCTGTGTATCCTTTTTCTTTTTACTTTTTACTGTTTTTGTCTTTTACCGACAACAGAGCGATAACTAATTAATATCTCCTGACATCTCCTAGATTCTTCTTCTGTTAATTAAATCACATTTATTACCCCAACCATCATAAACATCTAAATACAAATACTGTGTGTCAGTATGTATTATCGTACTGGATGTATGTATGATGTATAAATGCTGTCTGTAAATGTTTTTGTGTGTTTGAACTCACCCATTTCCCCTTTTATCCTGCAGAGTCCCACTCCCATCCTGAGCCTGGAGCTGTCTACCAAGAGAGTAGGTCTATCTGTCTGCCTCTTCTGTCTGTCTGTCTTCTGACTTTTATGTGTCTGTCTGTGTATTAGTGATATTTACTAGAGTAAACTTTTAGAAGTTTAAAGAGAAACACATGTATAAAGTTGATCTGATGGAAAGCTGGTCCATTTAGCATTATTGGTTATGACTTAACAGGATTAAATCACCTAATAAAACAACCACAAGGGCAAATTCATGTCCAAGAAATGAATAAAATAAATAAAAGTTGTCTAGCTATGTTTTTATATTTATAAAAAAGAAACAAATATGGGAGAAACTACTTTTTTATTGAGATAGTCACATAAATTAACTTAAAAAGTCGTCTCCCTCTCACTTAGAGGGACGAACGGTGAACCTACCGAAATGTAACCAAACTCTTTCTCTCCTCTTCCTCTCCTCTCTCGCTCCTTCTCCTCCACAGCAACAGCTGTATGTGTCCAGTGAGCTCGGTGTGGCCCAGCTGGGGCTCCAGAGGTGTGAGTTATACGGGGCCGACTGCGCTGAGTGCTGCCTGGCCAGAGACCCCTACTGCTCCTGGGACGGACAGACCTGCTCCAGATTCTTCCCCACCAGCAAGAGGTAAAGAGCGAGGATGACCTTTATGATAATTCCCTTGAAGGACCCATGAATCTTATCCATCTTAGATTAAAGATGGTGAATTAGGTTGGATTTGGTGTCTTCGAGTGTTTCCCCAAACATTTGGAGAGAGAGAAAAGCAAAAGGAAGAAGTGGGAGAGAGCAAGAGTCGACTGATGGAGAGAAAATGAGAGACAGAAAGAGTGAGAGTTAATGAAGAAAAGGGTGATAAATAAACATGTAGAGAGACCTTCGGATATGTTACAGTCTTGAGGACGTGAAGCGAAGAAAGAAGGGGGTGAAGGGAAGGGAAGCAGGGTCAGAAAACGACGGCGGGAGGTCGGACTAGAAGGAGAAGGAGACGTGACAGCACTCTTTACCGTGGCTGAAACAACACTCTGTATTTTCATAGCCTGTCCTTGCTCCATGTGTTCTCGTTCATAATCACAGTAGCTTCATATTTTCACCCCCGAGGAGCCGGCAGAAGCCCAGCAACAACAGTGAGGAGGAGGATTTAAAGCGGTTATACAGCTTTATCTAAAGGCAACTCCATTATCTGCAGCTGTCAGCTGTTGTTTAACTGATGAGTCTACTGTCTACTGTAGTGCACTTCAGTCACAGGCAGTAACATACATATTAAAGAGCCCCTCCAAACATGTATTAGGACATATATATCATTGTCTTATTAGAACAATAATGTGTGTTTTTTCTGCAAAGAAAGTATAATTTTTACATTAAAATCCGTAAAAATACATCTACTCCTACTTCGTTAATCCCAGAATCTATGAATATGCAAATTGTGTTAATTTCTTAAGTTTTCCTGCTGGACACAAATGTCCATTCTCAATGTCTGTGCACTGGTGGATCACACCGTAGAAGTTACATACTGGACCAGTTATTTACAGAGGGAGAAGAGCCACTTCTGGTGGAGTCCGCCATGTTGAACCACCACGTTATAGCCCAAAGTGGACAAACCAAACACTGAGTCTAGATGGGGTCTTTTGCCTTTCTAAAGAGTTTTGTTGCCACTATTCTCCTACACGCTTGGAAGGCGAGCAGTATTCAGTTGGTTTAAAGTGGAACCTGATTGCTGGATACCACTAAATCCAACATACTGGTCCTTTAATTTTTGTATCATGTTTTAAATCATCAATAAAGACAATAAATAACAATAATAATCAGAGATGAGGTGAAACTGTTGAGTGTAATAAGATGTTTGATGATACTTTAATTAATAAATTAAAGCCTAAGTTATTTTAAATTTCTTGGTAAGACAACAACACAATACAACTGCAAGCAACATATTCTAATGTGTGTGTGTGTGTGTGTGTGTGTGTGTGTGTGTGTGTGTGTCTCAGGCGGGCGCGGAGACAGGATGTAAAGTACGGAGACCCCTGGAGTCAGTGTCCAATCACAGAGGACGGTAAGGATTTCCTCTGTCTGATATGAATTAACTGTCTGTGTTTTTAATATTTGTCCTGCCATCAGTTACGTAACGGACACCCAGCTCAGTTGGTGTAGAAACAGAGGACGTCCTCTTACATATACACTCTGTGATTGATTGTGTACCTCGAAGTGGCATTGCTGGGGATGGTCGGCTGTTTGTCCGCTGGCTCCAGAAGAGATCTGCATAAATCCCCTTTACGAACTCACTCATGTGATTAAACAGGCTCACTGTAAAACGTCTGTAAAGTCCAAATAGAAGATAACGGTACAGTGATGTATCCTTTAAGAGAGGTTGTGTCAAGATTGTAGAAGGGCTGTTACTACTTCTTGACTGTGAATGAATAAACTGACTGGAAAAGTTCTGAAAGCACTCGGTAGGCAAGCTTTAAACATATGATGCAAATTTCCCACAATTCAAGGAAGGAAATAGAAGAGCTACTCACAACTGGAAAACTATAGATGGTAGTAAAACTGCCTTGTAAACAAAAGAAGATATTACATCCTGTGTGTTTTTTTGACAATGAATTGGCAGTTTCCTGTATTGTATAAAACATTCAAATATGTAAAACTAGTATAGTAAGACAGTATAGTGTATATAATGCACTGTATTCAGTTAGTATTTAGGGTGGAGTTGGACACACTGAATGTCTCATTTTAACAGAGCCACACTTTACATTTGTGCCACTATCAATGATTATGAAAAAGTTGGTGTCACATTTTCCATTTGTTTATACATTATTATGGCTGAAATATTAATGTGCTATTACTAAAGAGACATAATACCAAAAGATATACAGCACTGACTGAGAATATACAGTAAAATACCTTCTATTATCATTCTGTTCTGCAGGAAGGAGTGTGGCGAACTCTAGTGGTCGTACTCTGTAACTGCAGTTGTTTTCTTCCCAGCCATTTTATTGGCAGTTATGATAATTACGGTGAAAGAAAAAATAAAATATTCATATAAATGTTTGTATAAAATGTTAATATAATAAGATAAAGCAATACACCTTTCTTATATTTCCGCCTTTTTCAGATTGACCAATAACAAACATACAGAAGATTTTTTCGATATGTTAAACATATTTCTGTTTTTTCCTCTGTTGCTCCGTCAGATTCGGACTCTGTGGAGGTGAAGTTGGTGTACGGCGTGGAGGGAAATTCAACCTTCCTGGAGTGTGTTCCTCGGTCGAAGCAGGCTGAGCTCAGGTGGACGGTGCAGCACACAGAGAGCCGGCAGCAAACGCTCAGTCACACACATGAAAGCAGAGAGGTGAGTTTTTCTTACCTGAATCTCTCAGCAAACATCAGTTGGTGATGATATATCTCTTCACACGGATGATTCAGATATACTCTGATCTTCATTGTGGGAATAAAAGGGAAACCCAGCTGGTGTTAAACAGTATATTTATATGGTATAGTGTTTAATTATCTTTTGTATTACTATAGTTACAGAGATATTAGCTTAAGGTTTAAATTAAATCCCCTGTAAGAATATAGACATCACTCACAAACCAGAGGCTGACTGTGTGAGGGAAAGATGAGTGACTGTTGTCAGTTAAAAACATGTTGCCATCCTGAAGGATATGGCTGTGAAAACCCTCGTTTTAACGCTAATTAAGATTATGTTCCATTTATAGGCATTTTCCACCAACGGGGAACAGGCTCCATTCCAGTTCCAGCACTTAGTTTTAAACCGTTTGGAGCATTTCGACCAAAAATAAAGTGGTCCATAATCTGAAGAGTTGGTTCCCAGCTGGAGCCAAAAATTAGCAGGTTTTCCGTGGGAACCAAAGTGGGTGTGTCCTATTCTACAGGTTGTTGTGCATTATGCAACCTGTTGATGACACATTTATTATAATGGTTCCACTCAAAACTAGTTTGATAGATAGCAGCAAGGTTGCAAGAATCCTGAACGTAATCAGTTCAAGAACAGCACTAGTCTTTCCAGTATGCCAACGTGCAGCACCCTGACCCTGTTTGACCTGAATGGAACAGAGCCTGTGTTTACCCAACTGTTTCACGTCAAAATGGCTGCTGTGAAAAAGGTCTATTTATTCATGAAGTCAACTTGAACATCACCCTCTTGTCTGTCTTTTTGTCTCTCCTGCTCTTAGCTTCCTCAGAGCGATGACCACCGCTCCCTCCACATGAAGCGGGGGTTGCTGGTTCAACATCTGGAGTTGGCGGACGCAGGCCTCTACACCTGCGCCAGCCACGAGCACTCCTACAGCCAGGTCCTGGCCCGATACCGCGTTCACGTCATCCCCAACGACAGCCTCCACCTGACCCGCCACCAGCAGAACCACAGCCCGAACCACCCGAACCCTGCAGCCCTCGGGAAGGTCGCAGGGTTTCTCGGCCAGTCTGGGCCCCCTCATTCGCCGCCTCTGCTGCCGGGACACCGGAACTCGTGGCTGCTGCCCCAGCAGAGGAGCTACAAAGACCTGCACATGGTGGGGACCAACAGTCTGAGTGTGGACGAGTACTGTGAGCAGCTGTGGTACCGCGAGAAGCGCCGGCAGCAGAAGCTCCGCACGCTGAAGCTGAAACAGGAGAGCAGGAAAGCCCGGGTGAGGAGGAACAACCCTCCTGAGGTTCCCCTCTAGTCCACCTGGAGGACAGAGACTGCGTATGGACAACAGATCCTGTACATGCAGAGGACAAGGAAAGGTTTCATCAAGAACATTTGCTTTTTGAGCAGATATAATGCCAACTGATAGTGACACCAACTATATTTGCCATTAAAGACTGACAGAAATAAAAAAAAGGAATAGTTTAGTATATCCTGAATATTTAGTAGAATATGTATATTATTTGCAACCTCCTCCTGGCTCCAAGCTTCAGATAAAACTGAAAATGTTATATTGTCACATAAAATTCAGACTAGCGAGGTGGCATCATGTCTGAATGATAATCAGCTCTCCTCAGAATCACAAATGTGCCAAGTATTATGAGTATAACGCATTTAAGAATGTTTTGTTTCTGTATTATTTACCCATCTGACCAGAAACCAGTGGACACATTAAATCATATTTTGGTTTATGTGATGTCAGCTTATGAACTGTTGCCATATGTTGTGGCTCCTTGCTGCACATTAACACTAGCTCAGCAATCCCAAAACCTGTTTAAGCGAACTGCTCTGGGTTTAAAGGTTATATATATGAAATTCGCCACTGGATGTCGCACTAGAGCAGCATCTCAAACCAAAGCAATGGGACAGAAATAAAATAAAAACTCACCAAAATCAACTTTGCTAGTCTTTACAACAATACCCAACCAGAGCTTGGTTGTGACAGCATTTGTGAAAAGGGAACAGTAAGCTAACTGCAGCTGTCAAAGTGTGTTGTTTTTGCCACTCACAGGCTCAGGTTGTTATCTACAGGGATAAACCTAAACCAGAACTAATGTCACTATCACTGTCCACCAGACTCCATGGACAACTTACTTCACATATCATTGTAATGTCATAACTTTGAGTTTTGTTCAAGTGGACAGAAACAAGATAAAACTTCCAACAATCACCAACTCTGGTTTGGTAGAAATAAATCCTTAATTCACCGACGTAGATGATAAAAACAGTTTCAGTCGGAGCGGCTATGGAAACAAACCACAGAGAGGCTGCGATACAACACAAAGCTCCATAAGGCCCCATATTAAAATATCTAACTTTACAGCAGAAATAAACATGTTTACAGAGACTTTTGGTCTCTATAGCTAATTTCCCCGTTCATGACAACTGTACAGGGTGTGAACTCACCTGTTTAAATTATATTAGGGTTTAAAGTTATACATAATTCAGGACATGGGCGCACTGAGTGACAGGCGACAGGCTTCAGCTCCCCCTTTTTGTCCATATTTGGAGTCAGGGCAGCCAGGATGGCGACTGCCAGAGTCGACCACACTGAGCTTCACAACGGCTCTTCAGAAACCTGTGGGTGACGCCACAGAGACTACTTCACCTTTTATTTATACAGTCTATACTCAGGATGCCATCACTCCACTATACTGTATCTTTACATAGCAAATAGTTGTTTGCTGCTATATTAATGTTTTAAATCTCATATATATGACCTTTAAAGTTACTTAGTGTTAGAGAGACTAGTGGGCTGAAGTAGGAAACCACGTTACTTTTACCTAAATGTTATGAATTTACAAATATCCACTCTTCAACAATCCTTTTTCTGTCGTTTTCTATTTAAAATGTGTATTTAGACCTCGAGACCAACCAGTTCTGCAGTGCACCAGACAACTGACATGAAGTTTGTCACAAAACTGCTAATTCTTCCTAATGGACTGATGAACAGGTGAAAATGTATCAGGATCTCACACACAAAGCAAACTGAAATATAATAAACTCTATATACACTATAAATTAATGACAGAAGACTAAACAAGACAAGTGTTTGCCAGATTTACTGCTACACATTTAACTGTTGTTTAACAAAAAATAACATATAATGTTTTCTATGTGTATTTATGTTTATGATGTAATGCTGATCTGGGCTTCATATTGGGTTGAATTCAGGCCTCAGTGGAAACGCACACATGACATGGACCTTGCTTGAAAATACATTATGTATAGCTTATTAATTCTGCTATGTAACTAATAATTATTATTCACTTCATTGTATATTAAAGAACTCTATTTTTGATAGTTTTCTTTCTTTATATGCTAGAATTTAGTACATTTTCTCGGTGTTTATATAAAAAGTGTGTGTTTCTCATTTTTTTAAACGTCACAACTCTAAATAAGCTTTGAGTTCAATAATAAAATTGTGTTATACTGTATGTGAATACGCCACAAAATGATGTCAAATAAAAACCGAAAATAAAGAAAAATCGAAGGTTTTAATTGTTTTTCTCCAAATATAAGTTACTGAGACAGTATACAGAATAACTCACACTGGTTGTAATCATAACAGGCTACTACTATATATTACTGAATATGAAGGGTTTATGCATTTTAGGCATTGGTAAGACATTTAGGAGTGTATAACATGCAGTTTTGGACTATTGCATTGTGACAAATTGTGTTACAACACAAATTATTTCAAGTTCAGTTTAGAAAATGCTGATTTAGTGAGTCTTAGAGTGTTAAACTGCCATATGTGGGGTACAGTGTACATGCACAAGTGTTAACTGACTGCATTGAGACAGCATTGAATCCCATTTTGATTGTATCTTGAACAAACTTGGTCAAATAAATTGTCAGTATGCATTGATTTGGCATCAGTTCTGTCATATGTCTGTTTATGATGTAATATAGAAAATTTTATTAATAGATTCAAAAGTAAAAAGGCAAAACATCTGTGTCCCAAAACACACAATTATCCTGGATTAGTTAAAAAAAGAACATGTACATATCAGGGCTGGATGAAGGTTTCATTGTTTCCACTCAGAGAAACCAAGCAGCTCTCCTGTCTCTGACTATTGACCGACCCAGGTTAGTTAGTGGTACATTAATGAACACATATTGATTTAGATATAACATGTAAGTATGATATACACTGAAATGATGAAGGTATTAATGCTACAATTCGACCCTCCTAAAGGACACGGCCTCAAGATCGGATCAAAGTGCAGAAGCTGCTTTATTATTTCAGGTTATGATGTAAAACCTCAAACAAATGTTCAGTAAATTAACTGACCACAAAGTTATCAACACACAGTGAACCCGGGGCATTTAGAGCCCCGAGGACGTTATTTAACTGAGTCAGACGGCAAAGAAATGTTATAATCTGGAGAGTGAAGGGAAGTAATTCTGACTCAGTAATTTGAACCTCACACATTACAGGAAAGCAACATGTGTTTACTGATCTATGATTAGTGAACATTAATATTAACCTAGTTATTGGTAGTAGTAGTGCAGAAGATTGTTGTTGGATGTTTGTTGTTATTATTATTATTATTATTATTATTATAAGATAATTAGTTACAACATTACTGTTGTTGGCACCCCCGACTAATTTGAAAGATAGAAACACTTATATTCAGCGGCTGGAAATGTAATATAACTACTAATGTAACTAATTATTGTTGACAGGAAGTAATAAGTATTAATATTATTTAAAAGAGTAATGAGTAAGGAGTATTAAATAAAAATGTTTGAGTAGCCAGCCCAACACTTATGATAATACTACTAATATTTTAATTTTAGTAATACATTTTTTATTTTTATTTTTATTTTGTTTTTATTTTTATTTTTATTATTTTATTTTATTTTTCTTTATTTTATTTTATTTTAATATTATTTATTTTATTTTATAATTATTTATTTTATTATTATTATTTATTTTATTATTATTTTATTTTATTATTATTTATTTTATTTTATTTTATAATTATTTATTTTATTTTATTTTATTATTATTTATTTTATTTTATTATTATTTATTGTATAATTATTTATTTTATTTTATAATTATTTATTTTATTATTATTTTATTTTATTATTATTTTATTTTATTATTATTATTATTATTATTATTATTATTATTATTATTATTATTATTATTATTATTATAACTCAGAACAGGAGCTGGTTCGGTTCTACAGTGGTAGTAAATGTTGGAGGACCGCTGTCTCCAGTAGGTGGCGGTAATGAGCCACAACATGACTACCAACCTAGACACCACAGAAGAAGAGAAGTTGCCGCACACTCGGTGGTGTTTGAATGTCTGATGGAAACTACCGTCAGACTAATATCGATATATTGATCTAATATATCGATCTATTGAGCCACTGTCAGCGGAGAAGGTAAACAGCTGTTTATGTTAAAGTGTGTACATTTACTCAAAAGGTCAGAGGTCAGTTTCTGGGTCTCTGCTAGCTACCGTAAGTTAGTTAGCTCCCGGTAGCTAGCCCGCTCACCGACCGCCACATTGGGTCGGTTACCGGGACACATTGGGTCGGTTACAGGGACACATTGCGGTCGGTTACCGGGACACATTGGGTCGGTTACAGGGACACATTGCGGTCGGTTACAGGGACACATTGGGTCGGTTACAGGGACACATTGCGGTCGGTTACCGGGACACATTGGGTCGGTTACCGGGACACATTGGGTCGGTTACAGGGACACATTGCGGTCGGTTACCGGGACACATTGGGTCGGTTACCGGGACACATTGCGGTCGGTTACAGGGACACATTGCGGTCGGTTACCGGGACACATTGCGGTCGGTTACAGGGACACATTGCGGTCGGTTACAGGGACACATTGGGTCGGTTACAGGGACACATTGGGTCGGTTACAGGGACACATTGGGTCGGTTACAGGGACACACTGCGGTCGGTTACGGACACACTGCGGTCGGTTACCGGGACACACTGCGGTCGGTTACCGGGACACACTGCGGTCGGTTACAGGGACACATTGCGGTCGGTTACCGGGACACATTGGGTCGGTTCGGGACACACTGCGGTCGGTTACAGGGACACATTGCGGTGGTTACCGGGACACATTGCGGTCGGTTACAGGGACACACTGCGGTCGGTTACAGGGACACACTGCGGTCGGTTACCGGGAGACATTGCGGTCGGTTACCGGGACACATTGCGGTCGGTTACCGGGACACATTGGGTCGGTTACCGACACATTGCGGTCGGTTACCGGGACACATTGCGGTCGGTTACAGGGACACACTGCGGTCGGTTACAGGGACACACTGCGGTGGTTACCGGGACACATTGCGGTCGGTTACCGGGACACATTGCGGTCGGTTACCGGGAGACATTGCGGTCGGTTACAGGGACACATTGCGGTCGGTTACCGGGACACATTGCGGTCGGTTACCGGGAGACATTGCGGTCGGTTACAGGGAGACATTGCGGTCGGTTACAGGGACACATTGCGGTCGGTTACAGGGACACATTGCGGTCGGTTACAGGGACACATTGCGGTCGGTTACAGGGACACATTGCGGTCGGTTACCGGGACACATTGGGTCGGTTACAGGGACACATTGGGTCGGTTACCGGGACACATTGGGTCGGTTACAGGGACACATTGGGTCGGTTACCGGGACACATTGCGGTCGGTTACCGGGACACATTGGGTCGGTTACAGGGACACATTGGGTCGGTTACCGGGACACATTGCGGTCGGTTACCGGGACACATTGCGGTCGGTTACCGGGACACACTGCGGTCGGTTACCGGGACACATTGCGGTCGGTTACAGGGACACATTGCGGTCGGTTACCGGGACACATTGCGGTCGGTTACCGGGACACATTGCGGTCGGTTACCGGGAGACATTGCGGTCGGTTACAGGGACACACTGCGGTCGGTTACAGGGACACACTGCGGTCGGTTACAGGGACACATTGCGGTCGGTTACAGGGACACATTGCGGTCGGTTACAGGGACACATTGCGGTCGGTTACAGGGACACATTGCGGTCGGTTACCGGGAGACATTGCGGTCGGTTACAGGGACACATTGCGGTCGGTTACCGGGACACATTGGGTCGGTTACAGGGACACATTGCGGTCGGTTACAGGGACACATTGCGGTCGGTTACCGGGACACATTGCGGTCGGTTACCGGGACACATTGCGGTCGGTTACAGGGACACATTGCGGTCGGTTACAGGGACACACTGCGGTCGGTTACCGGGACACATTGCGGTCGGTTACAGGGACACATTGCGGTCGGTTACAGGGACACATTGGGTCGGTTACAGGGACACATTGGGTCGGTTACAGGGACACATTGGGTCGGTTACAGGGACACACTGCGGTCGGTTACAGGGACACACTGCGGTCGGTTACCGGGACACACTGCGGTCGGTTACCGGGACACATTGCGGTCGGTTACAGGGACACATTGCGGTCGGTTACCGGGACACATTGGGTCGGTTACAGGGACACACTGCGGTCGGTTACAGGGACACATTGCGGTCGGTTACCGGGACACATTGCGGTCGGTTACAGGGACACACTGCGGTCGGGTTACAGGGACACACTGCGGTCGGTTACCGGGAGACATTGCGGTCGGTTACCGGGACACATTGCGGTCGGTTACCGGGACACATTGGGTCGGTTACCGGGACACATTGCGGTCGGTTACCGGGACACATTGCGGTCGGTTACAGGGACACACTGCGGTCGGTTACAGGGACACATTGCGGTCGGTTACCGGGACACATTGCGGTCGGTTACCGGGACACATTGCGGTCGGTTACCGGGAGACATTGCGGTCGGTTACAGGGACACATTGCGGTCGGTTACCGGGACACATTGCGGTCGGTTACCGGGAGACATTGCGGTCGGTTACAGGGACACATTGCGGTCGGTTACAGGGACACATTGCGGTCGGTTACAGGGACACATTGCGGTCGGTTACAGGGACACATTGCGGTCGGTTACAGGGACACATTGCGGTCGGTTACCGGGACACATTGGGTCGGTTACAGGGACACATTGGGTGGTTACCGGGACACATTGGGTCGGTTACAGGGACACATTGGGTCGGTTACCGGGACACATTGCGGTCGGTTACCGGGACACATTGGGTCGGTTACAGGGACACATTGGGTCGGTTACCGGGACACATTGCGGTCGGTTACCGGGACACATTGCGGTCGGTTACCGGGACACATTGCGGTCGGTTACCGGGACACATTGCGGTCGGTTACAGGGACACATTGCGGTCGGTTACCGGGACACATTGCGGTCGGTTACCGGGACACATTGCGGTCGGTTACCGGGAGACATTGCGGTCGGTTACAGGGACACACTGCGGTCGGTTACAGGGACACACTGCGGTCGGTTACAGGGACACATTGCGGTCGGTTACAGGGACACATTGCGGTCGGTTACAGGGACACATTGCGG